AGAGATGTCGTTTCTAGTCTATCTCTTTCTATTTCTATATATGTAAAGTTGCAAAATCATCAAATAATAATCCAGAAATTGAAATAGAAAAGAAAAAAGGGAGGTTTGTGATGGTTTTTCAATCTTTTATACTAGGTAATCTAGTATCCTTATGCATGAAGATAATCAATTCGGTCGTTGTGGTCGGACTCTATTATGGATTTCTGACCACATTCTCCATAGGGCCCTCTTATCTCTTCCTTCTCCGAGCTCGGGTTATGGACGAAGGAGAAGAAGGAACCGAGAAGAAAGTATCAGCAACAACTGGTTTTATTGCGGGACAGCTCATGATGTTCATATCGATCTATTATGCGCCTCTGCATTTAGCATTGGGTAGACCTCATACAATAACTGTCCTAGGTCTACCGTATCTTTTGTTTCATTTCTTCTGGAACAATCACAAACACTTTTTTGATTATGGATCTACTACCAGAAATGAAATGCGTAATCTTCGCATTCAATGTGTATTCCTGAATAATCTCATTTTTCAATTATTCAACCATTTCATTTTACCAAGTTCAATGTTAGCCAGATTAGTCAACATTTATATGTTTCGATGCAACAACAAGATGTTATTTGTAACAAGTAGTTTTGTTGGTTGGTTAATTGGTGACATTTTATTCATGAAATGGGTTGGATTGGTATTAGTCTGGATACAGCAAAATAATTATATTAGGTCTAATGTACTTATTAGATCTAATAAGTATAAGTTCCTTGTGTCAGAATTGAGAAATTCTATGGCTCGAATCTTTAGTATTATCTTATTTATTACATGTGTCTACTATTTAGGCAGAATACCATCACCCATTTTTACTAAGAAACTAAAAGGAACCTTAGAAACGGAAGAAAGGGGTGGGACTAAGTAGGACCAAGAGGTATCCGCCGAAGATGCTCTTTTTCCTTCTCTTTTTTCGGAAGAAGGGGAGGATCTGGACAAAATCGATGAAATGGAAGAAATCGGAGTGAATGGAAAAGACAAAATTAATAAGGATGAATTCCACGTTCGAACATACTATAACTATAAAAAAATTTCTGAAAATCGAGATGGAAATAAAGAAAATTCAAATTTAGAATTTTTAAAAATAAAAAAAAGAGGATCATTTTTTCTGGTTTGAAAAACCTTTTGTAACTCTAGTTTTCGATTATAAAAGATGGAATAGACCAAATCGATATATAAAAAATGATAAAATTGAAAATATTGTAAGAAATGAAATGTCACAATATTTTTTTTATACATGCCAAAGTGATGGAAAAGAACGAATATCTTTTACATACCCCCCCAACCTTTCAACTTTTTTTGAAATGATCCAAAAAAAGATACCTTCATTTACAAGAGAAAAAACGCCCTCTGATCAAGTTTCTACTTCTTGGAGTTTGATCAATGAAGAAAAAAAGGAAAACTTAAAAAACGAATTTTTAAATCGAATTGAAGCTTTAGATAAGAAAAGGTCTGTTGAAAATATACTGGAAAAAACGACTCGATTTTGTCATAATGAAACTCAAAATGAATATTTACCTAAAATTTATGATCCACTTTTGCATGGGATCTCTCGCGGAAAAATCAAAAAATTACCTCCGTTACAAATCATAACTGAAACCTATATAAAAAATAATATAGGAGGATCTTGGATAAACAAAATTCATGGTATACTTCTGAAGATTAATTATCGCAATTTTGAGCAAACAATCGAAAAATTTAATAGAAAACCTTTGTCGATAGATAAAGAACTTTCTTTTTTTTCAGAACCCCAAGAAGAAAAGATTTATTCAGAATATTCAGAAGAAGAAATAAAAATTTTCAAATTTTTATTTGATGTCGTTATAACTGATAACAATAATCAAGATCAAACTCTTATAAAAAATTTTATTAATTTCCATGAAATAAATAAAAAAGTTCCTCGATGGTCGTACAAATTAACAAGTGAGTTGGAAGAATTGGAAGGCGAAACTGAAGAAAAAGTACCGATAGAGCCTGGACTTCGTTCAAGAAAAGCAAAACGTGTAGTGGTTTTTACTGATAAAGAGCCGCATAACGAGATTTATACTAATCTCAAAGATAATCAAAATTCTGATCAAAACGATGAAATGGCTTTGATCCGGTATTCACAACAATCTGATTTTCGTCGAGAGATAATTAAAGGATCCATGCGTTCCCAAAGGCGTAAAACTGTTATTTGAGAATTTTTTCAAGCAAAATTACATTCCCCCCTTTTTTTGATAGAATAGATAAACTTTTTTTTTTCGTTTGATATATGGGAGCTAAAAAAAAAATTTTCTTAGAAATTTCATGCGAAAAAAAAAAAAAAAAATTTGATAAAAATGAAGAAGAACAATCAAAAATAGAAGAAAACAGACGGATAGAAATTGCAGAAACTTGGGATAGCTTCCTATTTGCTCAAATAATAAGAGGTTCTCTCTTAGTAACTCAATCTATTCTTAGAAAATATATTATATTACCTTTATTGATAATAATTAAAAATAGCATACGTATGTTATTATTTCAATTTCCCGAGTGGGCTGAGGATTTAAAGGATTGGAAACGTGAAATGCATGTTAAATGTACTTATAATGGGGTTCAACTATCCGAAACAGAATTTCCAAGAAACTGGTTAACGGATGGTATTCAGATAAAAATACTATTTCCTTTTTATCTTAAACCTTGGCATAAATCTAAATTTCAATCATCTCAGAAGGCTAAACTAAAAAAAACAAAAGACAAAGGAGAAAAAAATAATTTTTGTTTTTTAACAGTTTGGGGACTGGAAACTGAAATACCGTTTGGTTCTACCAAAAAAAAGCCTTTTTTTTGAACCTATTTTTAAAGAATTAAAAAAAAGAATCAAAAAATTAAAAACTAAGTCTTTTCTGGTTTTTATTTTCAAAGAAAGAGCGACAATTTTTCTAAAAGTCTCAAAAGGAATTAAAAACTGGATTATCAAAAACGTGTTTTTTCTAAAAGGAAAAAAAAAAAACCTTTCAAAACCAAATCTAATTCCATTATTTGGCCTTAGAGAAATATCTGAATTAAATGAAACTAAAAAAGATTCAATAATGAGTAATCAGATGATTCATGAACTATCTGTTCAAAAAAAATACATGGAGTGGACAAATTCTTCACTCAGCGAAAAAAAAAAAAAATTTTGATTGATAGAATAAAGACAATTAGAAATCAAACAGAAGAAATTTCAAAAGAAAAAGAAAACCGAACTACTAGAACTACTAGTTGTAACAAACCGCGTTATGATTCTAAAATAATGGAGTCATCAAAAAAAAGTTGGCAGGCATTCAAAAGAAAAAATACCCGAGTAATTCGTAAATCTTTTTTTTTTTTTGAAATTTTGCATTGAACAACTGTCTATAACTATTTTTCTAGGTATCATTAATATTCCAAGAATTACTACACAACTTTTTTTTGAATCAACAAAAACAATTCTTGATAAATATATTTACAAGAATGAAGAAAATGGAGCAAAACTTAATAAAAAAAAAAAAATACCATTTATTTTATTTCGACTATAAAAAATTTAATATCCAATAAAAAAAATTGTAGTTATGACCTATGCTCTTTATCACAAGCATATGTATTTTACAAATTATCACAAATTCAAGTTAGTAACTTTTATAAATTAAAGGCTGTTTTTGAATATAACATATGCATAACATCCTTTTTTGTTAAGAATAAAATAAAGGATTTTTTTCAAGAACAAGGACTCCTTAATTATGAATTGAAAGATAAAACCTTTTTTAATTCGGAAGTCAATCCATGGAAAAACTGGTTACGAAGTCATTCTCAATACAATTTACCTCAGATTGCATGGGCTAGATTAGTAACCCAAAAATGGAAAAAGAAAATAAACCAGGACTCTACCGTTCTAAATCGAAGTTTAACAAAAGCAGATTCATATGAAAAAAACAAATTTGATAATTACAAAAAACAAAATTTTTTTGAGACCAACTCATTGTTAAACCCAAAACATAATTTGAAAAAAGATTATATATATAATCTTTTTTGCTACAAATCTATTAATTCTACAGAAAAAAAATTTGACATGTATATAGGCATTGCTCTAGATAATTGTTTAGTCTCTTGTTTTCTAGAAAAATATAATATTAGGGGTATAGGGGAAATTCCGCATAGAAAATATTTGGATTGGAGAATTCTCAACTTTTGGTTTAGAAAAAAAGTCAATATTGAGCCCTGGGTTGATACCAAGAGTCAAAAAAAATATATTAAGACTAACGTTCAGAATTATCAAAGAATTGATAAAATAACTAATAAGGATCTTGCCAATCCAAAAAGTTTATTTTTTGATTGGATGGGAATGAATGAAGAAATACTAAATCGTCGTATAACAAATTTTGAATTGTTTTTCTTTCCAGAACTTTTCTTATGTTCTAGTACATATAAAATGAAACCGTGGGTCATACCAATTAAATTACTTCTTTTTAATTTTACTGAAAAAAAATGTTAATAAAAAGACCACTTTAAATAAAAAAGGTTTGATACCATTAAACGAAAAAAAAAACCTTCTATTTTATAATCTAAATAAAGAAGAAAAAGACTCGGCAGGTCAAGGAGAGCTTGAATCAGATAAAGAAAAAAAAAATATTGAAGAAAATTATGAAGAATCGACGATAACAAAACGTAAAAATAAAAAACAATACAAAAGCAATACCGAAGCGGAACTTGATTTATTTCTCACAAGGTATTCGCGTTTTCAATTGCGATGGAATTGTTTTTTTAATCAAAAAATTCTTAATAATGTAAAAGTATACTGTCTCTTGGTTAGACTAAAAAATCCAAACGAGATAGCGATATCTTCTATTGAAAGAGGAGAGATGAGCCTAGATATTCTAATGATTGAGAATAATTTCACTTTTGAAAAATTAATGAAAAAGGGAATATTGATTATTGAACCTATCCGTTTATCTGTAAAAAATGATGGACAACTTATTATATATAGAACCATAGGTATTTCATTGGTTCATAAAAATAAACATAAAATAAGTAAAAGATATAAAAAATAAAGCTATATTGATAAAAAAAAATAATTATGATTTCTTTGTCCCTGAAAATATTCTATCCCCGAAACGACGCAGAGAATTTTGGATTCTAATTTGTTTCAACTTAAAAAAAAAATGCGAGAGATAGAAATTCAAGATTTGATACGAATATTAAAAACTTGACCACAGTTTTGCATAAAAAAAAATATCTTGATAATGATAAAAAGAACCTAATTAAATTAAAATACTTTCTTTGGCCCAATTTTAGATTAGAAGATTTAGCTTGTATGAATCGCCATTGGTTTAATACTAGTAACGGAAATCATTTCAGTATGATAAGAATACATATGTATAAGCGATTTCAAATTCATTAATGATAGATCCTTTTTACTATATATAATATATAAGTTACGGTATATGAAAACAATTATATGCACAAATTTGAGGAATTATTTTAAATTAAATCCTTTATACATGAGATTCATTTAATCAATGACATAGATACCAATCAGAGCAGCTTCATAAATAAATTAAAAGAATCCTCCTTTTTTAGATCTAAATTTAGACTTTTTTTTATAAAATTAAGAAATTGATAATTAAATTCAGATCCTTGTACAAAAAAACTACCATTATTATTACTGATCAGTAAAATTCATATCTTTCAATTCATATTAAAAAATAAAAAAAGGAAGGATTTCTTTTTATGATAAAAAATGCATTCATTTCATTTCAAGAAAAAAAAAAAGAAAGCAGGGGGTCTGTTGAATTTCAAGTATTAAGTTTCACTAATAAGATACGAAGACTTACTTCACATTTGGAATTGCACAGAAAAGATTATTTATCTCAGAGGGGTCTACGAAAAATTCTGGAAAAACGTCAACGACTGCTGGCTTATTTGTCAAAAAAAAATAGAGTACGTTATAAAGAATTAATTAATCAGTTGAATATTCGGGAATTAAAAACTCGTTAAATTCTAAAATTGTGAATTAGTTAATTTTTTAGATATTGAATTTTTTGATAAACTTCTTTTTCAGCAATCTAATTCATGCCAGTTTTTCTATTATTTCTTTCTGCTTTATCCTTAATAGGGGGTTGGTTACACCTACAACCAAAATGGAAACTAAGAGTTTCGTGGTTCAAAAATGCTGAATCTCGTCTGAATCATCATTTGTCAGGACTATTCGGGGTAAGCTCCTTGGCTTGGACAGGTCATTTAGTCCATGTCGCTATTCCTGCATCCAGGGGAGAATATGTTCGATGGAACAATTTCTTAAATGTATTACCGCATCCCCAAGGGTTAGGCCCACTTTTTACGGGTCAGTGGAATCTTTATGCTCAAAACCCCGATTCAAGCAGTCATTTATTTGCTACCTCCCAAGGATCAGGAACTGCCATTCTAACCCTTCTTGGGGGATTCCACCCACAAACGCAAAGTTTATGGCTAACGGATATGGCACATCATCATCTAGCTATCGCAATTCTTTTCCTCATTGCGGGTCATATGTATAGAACTAACTTTGGAATCGGACACAGTATAAAAGATCTTTTAGAAGCGCATATTCCTCCGGGAGGACGATTGGGGCGTGGGCATAAGGGTCTTTATGACACAATCAATAATTCGATTCATTTTCAATTAGGCCTTGCTCTAGCCTCCTTAGGGGTTATTACTTCCTTGGTAGCTCAACACATGTATTCTTTACCTGCTTATGCGTTCATAGCGCAAGATTTTACGACTCAAGCTGCATTATATACCCATCACCAATACATTGCAGGATTCATCATGACAGGAGCTTTTGCTCATGGAGCTATATTTTTTATTAGAGATTATAATCCAGAACAGAATGAGGATAACGTATTGGCAAGAATGTTAGACCATAAAGAAGCTATCATATCCCATTTAAGTTGGGCCAGCCTCTTTCTAGGGTTCCATACTTTGGGACTTTATGTTCATAATGACGTCATGCTTGCTTTTGGTACTCCCGAAAAACAAATCTTGATCGAACCCATATTTGCCCAATGGATACAATCTGCTCATGGGAAAACTTCATATGGATTTGATGTACTTTTATCTTCGACAAATGGCCCAGCATTTAACGCGGGTCGAAGCATATGGTTGCCCGGCTGGTTAAATGCTATTAATGAGAATAGTAATTCATTATTCTTAACAATAGGTCCTGGAGATTTCTTGGTTCATCATGCTATTGCTTTAGGTTTACATACAACTACATTGATCTTAGTAAAAGGTGCTTTAGATGCACGTGGTTCCAAGTTAATGCCAGATAAAAAGGATTTTGGATATAGTTTTCCTTGCGATGGTCCGGGACGAGGTGGTACTTGTGATATTTCGGCTTGGGACGCATTTTATTTGGCAGTTTTCTGGATGTTAAATACTATTGGATGGGTTACTTTTTATTGGTATTGGAAACACATCACATTATGGCAGGGTAACGTTTCACAGTTTAATGAATCTTCTACTTATTTGATGGGATGGTTAAGAGATTATCTATGGTTAAACTCTTCACAACTTATCAATGGATATAACCCGTTTGGTATGAATAGTTTATCAGTCTGGGCGTGGATGTTCTTATTTGGGCATCTTGTTTGGGCTACTGGATTTATGTTCTTAATTTCCTGGCGTGGTTATTGGCAGGAATTGATTGAAACTTTAGCATGGGCTCACGAACGTACACCTTTGGCAAATTTGATTCGATGGAAAGATAAACCGGTAGCTCTTTCAATTGTGCAAGCAAGATTGGTTGGATTAGCTCACTTTTCTGTAGGTTATATATTCACTTATGCGGCTTTCTTGATTGCCTCCACATCAGGCAAATTCGGTTAATTATTTATATATTCTATCCGCATCTTTTTTTATTAAAAAAAATAGGTATGCACTCTTATATTTATTTCTACATCTAGGATCCGATTTGTATCATTATCATTGATAATAAGAGGAACTGAAGCATTATGGCAAAGAAAAGTTTGATTTATAGGGAGAAGAAGAGGCAAAAATTAGAACAAAAATATCATTTGATTCGTCGATCCTCAAAAAAGGAAATAAGTAAGATTCCGTCGCTAAGTGAGAAGTGGAAAATTCATGGAAAATTACAATCCCCACCGCGTAATAGTGCACCTACACGTCTTCATCGACGTTGCTTTTCGACCGGAAGACCGAGAGCTAACTATCGAGACTTTGGACTATCTGGACACATCCTTCGGGAAATGGTTCATGCATGTTTGTTGCCAGGAGCAACAAGATCCAGCTGGTAAGGATTTAAGTATCCCTTAATTTTTCTATTTTTTTATATGATCGACGAGGCCCCTTTACCATTCTGTCTAAATAGGCTATTCTATTTGTACAGATATGGAATAGGGGCGCATTCAATTCGTTTTTGTTTATTAGAGTTTAGTCCAAGTTTTTTTGTTTCATCGCGGGGTAGAGCAGTTTGGTAGCTCGCAAGGCTTATAACCTTGAGGTCACGGGTTCAAATCCTGTCTCCGCAACATTTTTTTCAACAAATGTAAGTTTGATTCTATTAACTAGTCATTAATTAATACTTGTTTTTTGGGACGGGAGTAAAAAATTACTATATTTCCCGGTCAACTATACCGAATCTTTTTTCTTTTTGAATCCATTTATATTTGGGCGGATAGCGGGAATCGAACCCGCGTCTTCTCCTTGGCAAAGAGAAATTTTACCATTCGACTATATCCGCACTTTTTGTCTTCTTGATAAGAAATTTATGGATAATATTTGGTCAAAGCTATACGAGATACACTGTTTGGTTTGGGGTCATTTCAAAAAATTCTACCACCAAATAAGTTCAATTAACAATTATATTAATATATAGAAATATATATATTAATAATATATTTAGTCTATAATATTGAATATATTGAATTCTATATTTAATAATATATTATTCTCTATTTCCATAAAATATTATATTCTATATTGATATCAGATATCAATTTTTTATTATTTTTTTATTTAATTATTTATGACTATTTCATATTTAGTAAATTTATATTTATTAATATTTTATTCATATTTCACTCAAGCTCCCGAAGTTCGACCCCCCCCCCCCCCCCTCTAATTTTTTTTGTTTTCTTTATTTGCATTTTATGGACTTATATTGAATTTGAATGTGTAATTCATGGAATGGGAGGGGTCATCTCATTTTTAGATCTGCAACGAATGAATTCAAGAGATAAGAGAATTAAGGATACCCACCAAGAAGACTAATCCAATCCATAAAGATGTACCAGAAAATACAACATTTTTGTTACTCGACCAACCATCAGGAGACGCAAATACAACGGGTACACTAATCAGTAAGATTGATGAAGTAATAATTAATGCAAAAACAGCCAATTAGAAAGCAATAGTCATGTTTTTAATCCTCCAAGCTATTAACAAAAGAATATACACCATTTAATCTTCTTACTCACTAAAAAAATTTAATAAATAAAGGGATTTTATCATGAATCCGTTGATTCGAAATGACTTATTTCCAACTTATTTTTACCACTTTTATTCTATTCGGACATGAAGTTAAAGGTTCTTTTTGACTTCATAAATGGGTATACTGGATCGTGTATCTCATTTATTTATATAGACAGATTTATAAACCTATAACGAAAGTCACACCCTATATCTTTTTATACATAGTGATTGTATTAACTCATAGGGCTATGTTCTATTTGGCGAAAAAAATATAAAATATAAATTATCTTTCAGAGAGATGGCCGAGTGGTTAATGGCTCCGGTCTTGAAAACCGGTATAGTTCATAAAAAATAACTATCGAGGGTTCGAATCCCTCTCTCTCCTTTTGTTAGATGAATATATTTTTTTCTTTATTGGCTTTTTTTCTTCTTAGCATCATAAAAAAAAGAGAGTGGCTCGGCTGTATAGTATAGCCGAGCCAGAAAAAATTAGATTGAATTGAAAGAAACAAA